GGTGGTTCACAGGAGTGTGCATTGCAGAAAATAAGAGGCATTTGTTTGGACAATGGAACATGAGACACTCGGATGAGAATGCAAAATTGGTATTGGGTAAATGCCTCCATTATCTATTATGATAATGAAGGTCTTATTGCATTATCTTTGTGCATTAGTCAATTTGTACCTTACATTACCTAATCTGGAGTAGGTCCTCTCAGTAGAGAAATAATTCCTGATGAAAAGAATTATTTATAACAGGTAGTACAGTCATTTTTCTTTTATTGCCTAGTATTGGGGACTTTAATAAATAAAGATCCCCAATGATTGTCAAAATGCCAACTGCAATTTTGACACCAGTTTCTTCTGGTAAAGAAGGAAATACTAACTTGCCTGTTGCTCCCCCTGTCTGATCGTACACAGAAAATTCACTTTTGCCTGGTAGGCCTGGTGGAGTGTGTATGATGGAAATTCTCACTGCTCTGTGAGTTCAGTGGCCCTATATTGGAGGATCATTGTCAAGAGCTCTAACAGCATTTCCTTCCTGAGGAAGCTGAGCCCCTGCAGCTGAAACAATCAGGCTGGAGAAGAACAGAGTGGGGCGGGGGAGTTGAGCAATATGGCTCAGAAAATGGGATAGGCCACCAGATATACAATACCAGGAATAGCTCGACTGTGTTCCTGAAATTGGTGCTTGTGGATTAAATCTTTGAGCTTTCTGTGCCAGCTTTCATTTTATACAACCAGGAATGGTCTTTCCAGATGCGAGGGGAGGAAATGGTTATTATTATTATTTATGTGTCCTTTTTGGGAAAAAAAAGGGAAGAAGAACCCTTACATATGTCCTTTTAGCTGTGGTGAGAAGGATGAGTTTTTTTTTGTTTTTTTTTTTGTTTTTTTTTTGAGGTTGAGTCTGACTGTTGCCTAGGCCAGAATGCAGTGGCATAATCTCGGCTCACTACAACCTTTGCCTCCTGGGTTCAAGTGATTCTCCTGCCTCAGCCTCCCAAGTAGCTGGGATTACAGGTGCCTGCCACCACGCCTGGCTAATTTTTTTGTATTTTTTAGTAGAGATGAGGTTTTACCATATTGGCCAGGCTGGACTTGAACTCCTGACCTCAAGTCATCTGCCCACTTCGGCCTCCCACAGTGCTGGGATTACAGGCCTGAGCCACCATGCCCACCCGAGGATGAGTTTCTGTCTCACCTTAGTAGCCTCGTGCTTGGGCGTAAGCACGGGTTTTGCAATTTGAGGGCTAGAAGGGACTTGGCATTCTTTTTAATTGTTTTCTTTGTTCCAGTACCTGATGACTCATATGTAATAAGGATAAACCACTCAAGGATTACATGCATTTAGACTGAAATTTCTGAGAGCTCCACTAGAGTGTCAGATGCATTTCTGTGTGTGTAGAACCATTCCGGGAATGGATGAGAACCTACCAACTTAGTGTGAATCTGGCTGCAATTGTTTCCAGTGGGGAGGGATCCTCTGCCCACTCATTCATGTCTCCTCCTTGATTTTTATTCTAGGACTAGTCAAGGATGTGTCCACATCATAGTGGCTCAGACCAAAGACAACAAATACACACTGAATCAGACAAGCGCTGTGTTTGACAGCATCCCTGAAGTGGTACACTATTATTCCAATGAAAAGTTGCCTTTCAAAGGGGCAGAACACATGACTTTACTCTACCCCGTGCACAGCAAGCTTCACTAAGGTTCAACCACTGCAAGCCCTGGGCCTCTGGCACCTGCAAGGGCACCATCAGCGCACAACCAGCATCTCAGAGGACAAGGCTGGACTAGCAATTGCTAGAAAATGGGAGTCTTCCTTGAAAAGTCGGAGTCTTTTGTTTTGTTTGAGACAAAGTCTCGCTGTGTCGCCTAGGCTGGAGTGCAATGGCGCAGTCTTGGCTCACTGCAACCCCTGACTGCTGGGTTCAAGCCATTCTCCAGCCTCAGCCTCCCAAGTAGCTAGGACTACTAAGTGCGCGCCACCACTCCTGGCTAATTTTTTGTTTTGTATTTTTAGTAGAGACGGGGTTTCACCATGTGGGTCAGGCTGGTCTCAAACTCCTGACCTCAAATGATCCACCCACCTCAGCCTCCCAAAGTGCTGAGATTACAGGCATGAGCCACTGCACCTGGCCAAGTCTTTGGTCTTAAAGTGATTCCATGACACTTTGTTTCTGACCTGTCCCTTGTTTCCTTGCTAAGTAGTTCTACAATAAGAAATCATGATTTAGCTGTTGCCTCCAGCTCGAGTTTGATGTTCTTTTTATGGTGTGACCCTCAGGAAAATTAAGTCAAGAGTTCAGGAGCATCAGAGTTCTCCAGAAATGTGCCTACTTACTACCTGGAATACCTGGTCTCTAAACAAACCAACAGAAAATCCACGTGGCTTTTTCACACGATGGTGCGGACTGGAAGAGTATGTTATATCGGACTCATTATTGGGGAAATAAATGAGCAGTAGAAAATGTGAATGACGGGCAAGAAGGTTTGTATTTCTCCCTCAGAAGTCCTAATTCAGCTCTAGAGTTCATGGAAATTCACAACTTCAGAGTGTGGCCTAAGGATTATTTTGTTGGTCAGCCTTTCCAAGAAAGTGTGTGTTCTCTCAATCTCTAAGGATTTTCTCATTTTTTAGCAAATCAATGAGATAAGCATAAATAGGAAGATCCCCCAGGTTTACGTATCACCAATATTGTTAGGCATTGGCATCATTATTAGAATTCTGAATTATAGAATAAAAGGTACAACAAAGATTGCATTTCTGAATTTTAAAATTCTGGAAATTTGCAAAGCTCCACAACTGTTTTGTTACTGAATTCATTATGTATAACTTCTGTGTCTTTTGTTTCATCATCATTGGGCATTTTAGTTGCTATGGAATAATTTTTAATTTTTGTCTCTGAAATTAGATTTGCTTTGTGTTTGTAGTAAATTTTTTAAAAATATAACCCTGAAATCTGATTGTACGAACTGGGTCTCTAAAGCCCACAAAGATTCTCTCATTCTGTACTGAACAGGCTGCCTTGTCCTTTACAGAAGTGTTTGAAAAGACCTGGAGGTTTTCTCTTAAATACCGTTACTTAAGATTCATAGTATTAGAATCTTTATGATTTATCATGAGCTTATATCACTGGTTTATTTACTGTGAAAAGAAACCATGGGAATGGCATACTGTGAGAAGAGTACTATGGTGAGTGGCTCCAGAATTAAAATTCAGCAGATGTGTCTGTATTCTGGGGTTGGTCACTTGGGTCTCAAAACTGCCCCATATGCAAATGTACTGACTGTCATCAATCAAAAGTTAACCTTTGTAGCTTATAAATACACACAAAATGTTGTTTTGGTTAATTTTTTAGGAAAATATACTTTCTAGTTATTAGTTATATTTAACTATAAGATTTAGAGGTTAGTAAATTTTTGCTGCTTTATTCAGATAAGATCTCAGCCAAAAGGTTGTGTGATCTTTGATTTTAAAAATTTAAGAGGAACTTTTCTTCACTGGAACACAGTGATTTTATTAATAAAGAATGTAGGCTGGTTGTGGTGGCTCATGCCTGTAGTCCCAACAATTTGGGAGGCTGAGGCAGGCAGATCACCTGAGGTCAGGAGTTCTGACACCAGCCTGGCCAACATGGCAAAATCCCACCTCTACAAAAAATACAAAAATTAGGCCAGGCACGGTGGCTCACACCTGTAATCCTAGCACTTTGGGAGGCCCAAGCAGGAAGATCATTTGAGGTCAGGAGTTTGAGACCAGCCTGGCCAACATGGTGAAACCCCGTCTCTACTAAAAACACAAAAATTAGCTGGGCATGGTGGTGGGCACCTGTAGTCCCAGCTACTTGGGAGGCTGAGACATGAGAATCACTTGAGGCACGAGAATCACTTGAGCCCAGGAGGTAGAGGTTGCAGTGAGCCAAGATCACGCCACTGCACTCCAGCCTGGGTGACAAGAGCGAAACTCCATCTCGGGAAAAAAAAAAAAAAATTAGCCTGGCCTGGTGGTGGATGCCTGTGGTTCCAGTTCAGGAGGCTAAGGTAGATGGATCACCTGAGCCCAGAAGGTCAAGGCTGCAGCGAGCCGTGATCGCACCACTGCACTCCAGCCTGAGTGACAGAGTTGAGACTGTGTCTCAACAAGCAACCAACCAACCAAAAGGAATGTTTTTTTCAGATACTGATAGAATGTTTTAAATGTGTATTGGTTCATTTACTATATCCTTAGTGTAAGATTTTAAAAGGTTTTTTCAGCATCCATTCAACAAATATTTATTATCTTTTTTATACAAATTATTCATTGTGTTAAACATTTTTAGTTTAACATTCTAGAAATGAAACCTTTTAACCTTATTCTACAAAGGGAATACAACAGTTATTCTAATTTTAATAAATGCTAAAAGCTTTATACAATTTTTCTTTGTGCACTAAATGATTTTTGGCCCATACCCAGCAACTGTGATGAATGTATAATGAAGTAACATTTTGAAAACAGGCCAGATACATTAAGTATTTATTGAGCTTCTATCATATGCCCAGGATTGTGCTGCTTCTATACTGTTTCTCTGTGACAAGTCATACTATATTCTTTATAGAATTAAAAGTAGAGGAGAGGCAGGGTTTATATATTGTCCAGTTGCTTTACAGTTGTACAGGAGGTTATAAGAAGAAATACAGTAAATTAGTGGGAGGTGGGGGGATTAGTGAGCTACTGTTTTCTTCTTGAGGTTGTGACACAAGCTGACAAAAGCCAGGGAGTTCACAGCTGTGTGGTGGCACAAAGTTCCATATGTTCTAAAAACAATTAGGCCCAGCAGGGTGTCCCTAATGGCTTCCTTGTTAAGCCTCCCTGGCCAGCTGATCTGAAGCTCTGTGACATGTTCTTTGAGCTCTGAATGCCTTGGCTTTTTGTCATTTTGTCTTGAGACAAGTATTTTCCTGTAGTCCTCATTGCTTTGAGTTACTCCATCTCCCAGGATATTCTCTCGTGAGAAGAATGTCTTTTAGTGAATTTGTCTTGAATTTAGCATTCGTAGAGCTGTGTCAGTGTTGTTCTTGCTCACACCTCTTTTAAAAAATACTCTGCTTGTGATGACTGGGCAAGTTCATTGGGTTAGTTTCAGGCCTGTAAGAATAGAGAGTAAAGGACCTTGTTATTTACTTTGATGCCATAGTTGTATCTATCAGGATGGCCTGCAAACCACTGGCCCTGTGTGTATTTAAGCTAGGAATAAAATAATGGAGAAATGTTAATATGTCTACCAAAAGGTAAATACTGATATACCTACTCTCTGTTGGGGGCAGAAGTGTCATTTCAAGTTATTCAAAGCACTTTCTTAAGCATTTTAGAAAGTCTTTATTCTTTGCTGTTGGAAGTCTCCGTACTTTGCAGAATTGGTATTTGTGTACTAGCCTCTGCCACAGGATGGGGAGGTGGGCAGGTAGTTGATAAGGCAGCCAGGAGTTTTTGAGGCGGGTGGGAAATTGTCCTAATTTGTTAATTGGATTATGTAACTCTGTTACTAGTCTGTTATTGGCTGTTATTATTGGACGCATCTTGATACTCAGAACAACTGTGAGGCATTCTTCAGTTGCTTGTGAAGTGGGGTTAGTTTCTGTTCTATCAGATGCCCTTTTTCAGTCAAAGGTTAGCTCCTTGTTTCTGCCTCCTTCCAGGGTCCAGGGAGTGCAGTGATGTCGCTTTCATTTCCCTTCCCTGCACACCCTTGACACTCAGCAGGATTGCACTGAAACCCTTCTCAATCTCCCGTTCATTAGTTGTCTCCTATTTTTCCATAACGAACACTGGTTTGGCCTTATGACCTGGTTAGAATCGCTCTTCTGTATTCTCCTTTCTAATTTTTGTACTCCACCGACTTGGACTTAGATAATCTAACTTGGCCTGCTGTGCAGTGGGCCTTCTCTTCAACTTACCCTCCTTCACCACTGACCCTGTGTGAAGAAAGATGGTGCGTTACTGCCATCTAGTGGAAAAAGAGAAAACTGCAGTTGGGAAAAGCAGCTATGCATTTAAGGGTAGGGCTTTCTGAAGGATTTCTGATACAGTCCAGAAAGGGGAAAATGATGACACAGCAGTTGCCATCTTGAAAAATGCCCTTTCCTGCAGAAAGGGTGCTTTTAAGCCTGATACAACTATCACAAGGTCCCTGGACTAGGGCTGGATCGTGTAATTTAGAATCTCAAATTGTATTTTAATTAATATGCTGGCAACAGAATCATTGAGACAGGCATCTCATTTTGTCAAGTTCTTAGCCGTTCAGTTTGTCAGGGGCTTTAATATTTTAGATATCAACTAATACATAGTTTCAACTTTTAAAAATATTTGAAGATTGTATGTAATATAGGTGCCTATCTGTAGTGCCTTAGTAATTTATATCAGAAATGTTTTATAAAATTTCTGGTTGTATTGCAGTAGCCAATACAGGCTTCATGCCCTCCTGAAGATGGTTTCCTCTGAAATGTAACTTTAAATAAACATTATTCCAAGAAAACTACAGTGGTTTTGCTTAATTCAGTTAGCTCTGAGAATCATCTTCCTTCAGAAAAAGACTTCCCATGGTAAGAGCTACAGCAGAGTTTCATTTGCAATCACCATTAATGAAATATAGAAACACCATGATGGAACATAACCAGCAGAATTCGATCTTTTCTTTCTTCTTTCACATTTAGAGTCCTTCTATTATGTTTTTCTTCCCAAGTAAAATAGTAATACAGGGACGTTTTACTCCCATTTCCTTGGCCCATTTCTTCCTGAGTCGAAAGTGCACTGGTTCTCATCCCTCTCTAGATAGAAGATTTGGGCTCTGCTTCTGTTTTTATCAGTTTGTTATTAATACAAATGCCCCATGCCATCTGTGGGATGCTCTAAGTCTGTTGCAAAGTTCAAAACCCTGTTTTTAAAAAGATTCTACCAGGTGATTTGGATACACAGCCAATGGTGGAGAAGCCCCGTTGGAAGCTCCTATTTGGAAATGCACAAATAAATTCACGTGAGGTCCTAGAAGGGCATACTGTACAGTCTGCTGTCAAAAAGTTTTCCCCTGAAAATTCCTGTGTAGTATGGTATCAAGTTTTTAACTTCCATTAAACATTTATGTAAGTTGCCACCTGGTGGAACAAGTGCCTATTGTTTTTTCCCCATCTGTGTTTAAGAGAAGAGGAAGTTCACATTAAGCAATGCTGCTGCCAACCAGCACCCAAGCAATTGAGAGTAATGGTTTTCAGAATTCAGATTGAACACATGTTTACAAGCACCCAGGGTTTGGGTGTTGAATGTTGGATTCTGACCCTGTGAAAGGCCAAGATGTAAGTAGTGAGAATAGACTCTCTCCGCACCAGGTGTGCTGCTGGACAAATGCTTTTCATCATAACAGCGTCTCATTTTAACCTGCCACAACTCAGCCAGGTGGGAAGTTGGTTTTTCACATAAAGACACGGGTGCTTAGAATGATGAAATGACTTGTCCTGGGTCAGTCATAGAGTAAGTGGTAGAGCCCAGATTGTGGCCCAGGTCTCACTCTAGAGTGGCTTTTTTGGTTTTTTGGTTTTTTTGGTTTTTTTGCACTTTTTATGGTTTCATTTAAAAACAAAATATACACTGAGCTGTCTATTCATTTTCTTCACTGCACAGCCTGGCCTTGGGAGTGGTGACTGGTGGCCCACGGGGCTGCTCGCTCCACAATGGCCTGTGGTTCTGGAGGAAACATTGTGAGCAATCTCAGCTCAGTATAATTTGTTGCACATCAGCAGCACTTCACTTCCAGCTCCTTGACCTTGTAGATCAGGAATTTCTGGAGGCCACTGGGCAGCATGTGCTTCGTTATCTTGCTAATCCCGTAACTGATGCTGGCAATAGAGGGGAGTATCATTCAGCCTCAACAAGGAAGGGAATCCTGACACAGCCTACAGCATGGATGAACCATGAGACCATTATGCTGAGTGAAACCAGTCAGTCACAAAAAGACAAATGCTATATGATTCCACTTACATGAGGTACCCAGTCAAATTCATAGAAAGCGGGGAAAAAGGAAATGGGGAGTTGTTGTTTAATGAGTGCAGAGTTTCTTTTCTTTTTTTTTTTTTTTTGAGGCAGGATCTAGCTCTGTCGCCCGTGCTGGAGTGCAGTGGCGCCATCTCAACTCACTGCAACCTCCACCTCCCGGGTTCAAGCAGTTCTACTGCCTCAGCCTCCCAAGCACTACAGGCATGTACCACAATGCCCAGCTAATTTTTGTATTGTTAGTAGAGACAGGGTTTCACCATGTTGGCCAGGCTAGTCTCAAACTCGTGACCTCATGTGATCCACCTGCCTTGGCCTCCCAAAGTGCTGAGATTATAGGCACGAGCCACCACGTCCAGCCCAGAGTTTCTGCGTGAAATAATTAAAAGTCCTGGAGATTGGTTGCACAACAATATGAATGTAGTTATTCATAACACTGCTGAATTGCACACTTAGAAATGGTTAACATAGGCCAAGCGTAGTGGCTCGTGCCTGTAATCCCAGGGCTTTGGGCCAAAGTAGGCGGATCACTTGAGCCCAGGAGTTCCAGACCAGCCCAGGCAACATAGTGAAACCCCATCTCTTATAAAAAAAATTAGGTGGTTAAGATGGTAAATTTTATGTTAATGCATTTGTTACCACACACACACACACACAGAAATGCCAGTCTATTATCTTACAATGGAAATGCATCTAGCAGACTGCACGTTCGGGTCACCTGTGTGATCAATGTGCACTCTACCCATAGAGGGGCCACATGGATTCAGAGCAAGGGAAATAGGAATTGCGTTTTCGGTATCCACCTCCACCTCCAGGACAATCCTCTGCTGGGTCTGGCAAGTTGTGTGCATGGGCCTAGGCAGCCTTTCCCCTGCTTGGGAGAGGCTCTGCCTATAGAACTGGGTAGTGTGAAGTCCTTCAGGTCATTTAAGCTCTGATAAACATACCTTGAGGAGATTCAGTCTGAGGCATGAGGTTATCATTTCCAGAATCCACAGGTAGCACCAGAATTACTTCCCCTTTGTGAATCATGTAGTATGAATCACTGTAATATCTTGATTCAAATTTAAAATACTTCCTACATGACATTTTTAAATGGTTGCCTTCTAATTTATGTGCATAAATAAACAGGTTTACTAATTTGGATTGAGGGAAAGATAAATTATTACTTGATGAGCACATAAAAGCCAATTTGTTGATCAAGCTATCAACCAGCATGTTGGTAAGAAACATATTTTACTTAAAAGATAAGAAAGGTGTGGATTATTTCAGATTGCTTTAATTTTTTTTTTTTTTTTTTTTTTTTTTTTTTTTGAAATGTGGTTTATTTTGGATTGCTTTACTTTTTTTTTTTTTTTTTTGAGACAGAGTCTCTCTCTGTCACCTAGGCTGGAGTGCAGTGATGCAATCTTGGCTCACTGCAACCTCTGCCTCCCTGGTTCAAGCCTCAGCCTCCTAAGTAGCTGGGATTACAGGCGCCCACCACCACACCTGGCTAATTTTTGTATTTTTAGTAGAGACAGGGTTTCACTATGTTGGCCAAGCTGGTCTCAAACTCCTGACCTTGTGCTCGTGCCTCAGCCTCCCAAAGTGCTGGGATTACAGGCGTGAACCACCATACTCAGCCTTATTTTACGTTATTTTTGAGACAGGGTCTTCTCTTTTGCCCAGGCAGGAGTGCAATGGTGTGATCATGGCTCACCACAACCTTGACTTACTAGGCTCAAGCAATTCTCCCATCTCAACTTCCCAAGTAGCTGGGACCACAGGTGTGTACCACCACACCTGGCTAATTTTTTGATTTTTTGTAGCAACAAGGTCTCACTATATTGCTTAGGCTGATCTTGAACTCCTGGGCTGAAGCGATCCTCCTGACTTAGCCTCCCAAAGTACATGGATTATAGGTATGAGCCACTGCACCGTCCTGGACTGCTTCAGATGGTGTGCTTGCAAGTGAAACATTCTTTCTAAAACACTTGCACATTTTAAAATGGAGAATCTCCAGCTTTTTTTTAGAAACGAATACAATGGGCCAGGCACTGTGGCTCGCGCCTGTAATCCCAGCACTTTGGGAGGCCGAGGCAGATGGATCACTTGAGGTCAGGAGTGATCCACCTCCAACCGGGAGGTGGAAGTTGCAGTTAGCTGAGATTGTGCCATTGCACTCCAGCCTGGGCAACAGAGTGAGACTCTGTCTCAAAAGAAATGAATACAATGAACCACACTGTCCCATCACCCAGCTTCAACAATTATTGTCTTACAGCCAATTTTGTTTTGTCTGTGATCCCCACCCACTTCTTGTACATTTTAATAAACAATTTTTCGTAGACCATATAATATGATTCGATTATTCCAAAATAGAGGGGTTATCATTGTTTAATCAAGCTATCTTTAATTCTAAAAACAATGCTCATTTAAAAAAATTTAAATATGTACACAAGAAAAAAGAGCAAATCTGGTCTTCAGTGACTTCGTAAATGTGCTTAGAACATTGCAGAGGTTTGGCCGGGCGCGGTGGCTCAAGCCTGTAATCCCAGCACTTTGGGAGGCCAAGGCAGGCGGATCACCTGAGGTTGGGAGTTCAAGACCAGCCTGGCCAACATGGAGAAACCCTGTCTCTACTGAAAAATACAAAATTAGGCAGGCGTGGTGGCGCATGCCTGTAATCCCAACTACTGTGAAGGCTGAGGCAGGAGAATCGCTTGAACCTGGGAGGCGGAGGTTGCGGTGAGCCAAGATTGCGCCATTGCACTCCAGCCTGGGCAAAAAGAGTGAAACTTCGTCTCAAAAAAAAAAAAAAGAACATTGCAGAGGTGCTCAATATAGTAGACATCCAAGGCAGCCTCTCTCCCACCGGGCCCCCGCCCGCAGCCCTCCCCTGCAGCCCTGGGCAGGCCTCCCCCTCCCCAGACCCTCCTACTCTGCTCCCTCACTCCCTAGATCAGATTAGTCATTTGCTCCCAGACACAGCATTTGCTTGTTAATTGTGTGGCTCTGGCCAGGCACACTGCCAACTCCTGGAGGAGGACATCGGTTCCTCTTATACCTCACACCCAGCACAGTGGCCTAGTAAACATGCCTTGAATGAATCGTTGCACCCAGAGAGCAACTCCACTCACAGAGTGGTGACCATCATTTCAGAGGGAGTGGATTGTAATAAGGCAATAAAGCACAGTTTGGCTGGATGTGGTGGCTGATGCCTGTAATAGCACTTTGGGAGGCTGAGGTGGGCAGATCACTTGAGGTCAGGAGTTCGAGACCAGCCTGGCCAACATAGCAAAACCCCATCTCTACTAAAAATACAAAATTAGCCGGGCATGGTGGCACATGCCTGTAATCCCAGCTACTCAGGAGGCTGAGGCAGGAGAATCGCTGGAACCTGGGAGGCAGTTGCAGTGAGCCGAGATCACACCACGGCACTCCAACCTGGGCGACAAAGCAAGACTCTGTCTGAAAAATAATAATAAATAAAGCACAATTGGAAGATTTTCAGGAAGTTCACCAAAATTTATACCAAGGAACCAACAGGAGAAATCCAAACCATTCACGCAGAACAGAGGTGTGGATAGGTATAGATGGAGGGGAAGTGGCTTGATTTGGCCCCTGATCAGAGAGTTACTGTGTCAGAAACCAGTTGCTGCCACTCTCCTTTGTGACCCATCTCTGGCTGCCGCTGCCTTAAGGTCATCTATGGGAGCCCCGAAGCCATGCCTTTGTATGTGTGCTCAGACTCCCATGGGTTAGCCTCCAGCCCTAGCTCACACTGATAAACGTGACAAACCACATGAGGACACCAGGTCCATCTCCTCCCAGGGTGAGTGAGTTAGGCCCCACCCCACACAGGGTGAGGGCGCCTGGCCTGAGAAAAGGCTTGGTAAGAGAAGCCCCTGAGTGGCTGGGGCCTGAGCCCCATGGCAAAAGCAAAGAGCACTTAGAGTCCAGCAGACCCAGGTTTGGAGTCTAGTTCAGCCTCTTAACTAGCATGGGCATCTTGGACCACTGTCTTCAATATAAGCCTCAGGTGTCTTATCTGTAAACGGGTGAGAATAATTACACTGCAGCCACATTAAGGAAGAATATCCTGTTTACAAAGCACGTGGTGGAGAGGCAGTAAATGGGAGCCGTTTTTTTGTTTTTGTTTTTGTTTTTGTTTTTGAGGCAGAGTCTCACTTGTCACCCAGGCTGGAGGACAGTGGTGTGATCACAGCCCACTGCAGCCTCAGACTCCCAGGCTCAAGTGATCCTACCACCTCAGCCTCCCGAGGAGCTACGACTACAGGCGCGTGCCAGCATGCCAAGCTAGTTTTTTGTATTTTTAGTAGAGACAGGGTTTTGCCATGTTGGCCAGGCTGGTCTCAAACTCCTGGGCTCAAGCAATCCACCCACCTCAGCCTCCCAAAGTGCTGGGATTTACAAGCATGAGCCACAGCACCCAGCTGCCATTATTTTTTTTCCTTTCTTCCCCTTCCACCCCTGTCCCCCCGACACACAGTATCTCAACCTGTTGCCCAGGCTGGAGTACAGTGGTACTATCACAGCTCACTGCAGCCTCCAACTCCTGGGCTAAAGGGATTCTCCTGCTTCAGCCTCCCAAGTAGCTGGGACTACAGGCATGCACCACTATGCTCGATTAATTGGTTTTTAAAAAATTATTTTGTAGAGCCGGGCACAGTGGCTCACTGTAATCCCAGCACTTTGGGAGGCTGAGACGGGCAGATCACCTGAGGTCGGGAGTTCAAGACCAGCCTGACCAACACGAAGAAACCCTGTCTCTACTAAAAATACAAAAAATTAGCCGAGCATGGTGGTACATGCTTGTAATCCCAGCTACTCGAGAGGCTGAGGCAGGAGAATCGCTTGAACCTGGGAGGCAGAGGTTGCGGTGAGCCGAGATTGTGCCATTGTACTCCAGACTGGGCAACAACAGCAAAACTCAGTCTCAAACAAACAAACAAAAAATTATTTTGTAGAGATGGGTCTCACTATGTTGCCCAGGTTTGTCTTGAACTCCTGGCCTCAAGCCATCCTCCCACCTTGGTCTCCCAAAATGCTGGAATTACAGGTGTGAGCCACTGCGCCCAGCCTGTAGCCATTATTATTAGGTAATTTTAGTAGATATCTCTACCATAAAGGGCCTGTGAACTTCTAGGTAACCAGTAAGGCCAGTGGTGTACTGCTTTGCTGCCATAGATTTTTGTTTCCTAGTTAATACCCACGGAAACATGAATCTTACCTCTAGCCCTGCGGTCCCCGGCACAGAGATCTTCAAAGCTGGCTGCACAGCAGCATCACCTGTGGAACTTACGCTCATGCTATTGTGATTGCCCGGGTCGAAGGTTGGCACCTGGCCTCCTCCTGATGCACAGGCCCACCCACAGAAGGGATCCACTGAAGCCCACCAGGTCCGGAAGTATGAGGAACCCCCAGCACCCACCTCATTGTGGAACTCACAGTCCAGCCACTCTCAGGATGGATCACCACCTTCATCAGAACCATCTGAGCAGCTTATATAGCTTTCTGGGGGCCCAGCTCAGACCTGTTGAACTGGAATCCCTGAGGGTGAAGCCAGGAATGGGGTTCTAACAAGCTGGCCGCAGTGCATACCAAAGCATTTATGTTCTGCAGGAAAACGCGCTGCCTGCGTGAGTGGTGCATGCAGGTGCTGGCTTCCATAAAGACACTAGAGATTGGGCAGTGTTTGAAAGATGGTGCAACAGGCCCCTCACCCTGGGGCCCGCGGGCTCACCACTCTGCCTAAGGAGTTGCTCTGAGCTCTCGCCCCAGCCCTTGTACACAGCAGTGCTGCATTTGAACCTTTCTTTTTTTGTTTTTTTTTTTTTTTTGAAAAAGAGTCTCACTCACTCTGTCACCCAGGCTGGAGTGCAGTGGTGTGATCTCAGCTCATGGAAACCTCCACCTCCCAGGTTCAAGCAGTCTTTCTGCCTCAGCCTCCCTTGCAGTCAGAATTAAGGTGCCCACCACCATGCCGGGCAAATGTTTTTATTTTTTTGAGACGGTGTCTGGCTCTGTTGACCAGGCTGGAGTGCAATGGCATGATCTCAGCTCACTACAACCTCTGTCTTCCAGGTTCAAGCGATTCTCCTGCCTCATCCTCCAGAATAGCTGGGATTACAGGTGCCCACCACCACGCCCAGCTAATTTTTGTATTTTTAGTAGAGATGGGGTTTCGCCACGTTGGCCAGGCTGGTCTCGAACTCCTGACCTCAAGTGATCCACCCACCTCGGCCTCCCAAAGTGTTGGGATTACAGGAGTGAGCCACTGCACCTGGCCTTAAAGGCCTTTCACCTCACCAGCACACCTTTGCTGCTGGAGGATGGCAAACACTGTTTCCTGCCCCTGTGCTGTAATTCTCACAGATACGCAGAAAGATTTGTTTGCCCTGCCTCAGTAAATAAGGAAAATACTTTCTTAGGAGGCTGTTCCAATAACTGCATGTTCCTTGCCGTCCTCTACAGAAATCACCATCTGCTCTCCCAAGTTCTTCTGGAAAGAGCACCGTAACCATGTCATCCTAACAGCGATGCCATGAAGAAAGGGAGGCAACTCCCTCCATGTCCTGGCTCCAGTGCCCACTCCTGTGTCCCCTCCACGGCCCACTCAGCCTGGCCACCTGGGTGACATCTGGTGCCTGTGTCACTTTCTGCAAGACAAGGACCAGCCTCAAAGAGGAGAGCATGTTGTTCTGAAGGAGATGGTGGCTGCCATCACCTGTCCTGTGGCTTTCCTCTGACTGCCCAGGTGGGGGCCCAGAGGCGGCGCCTCTCACTCCAGTGGAGTTACATAATTTCCAGGCTTCCCTGCAGTTTTCTCCTCCCCATCCCTGAACTGTTTACGCAGCAGCTCTCACCCACAGAGAGTCCGTGTGATGGCTTTTCCTCTGTTTGGAAGATGTGGATGGCTGTGTCCCAAGTTTTTCCTACCTAAGATCCTTTTCAGTAGGGGATGGATTCGGCCTATCTGATGATCAAGAGATCAGGGTGGCCTTTGTGATACTGTTACGCCCGCTCCCAGGTCCAATAAACAGTCTTCTGACAAATAATGGCCCTTCCTTTTCCTTCCCCACCTGTCCACCACCTGGTAATGTAAGCGTGGCAAAATCCCACACACCCCTTCCAGAAATCCCAGGACTCGTGTGGGAAATACTTGCATAATTAAAGCCTTCTGAGAAACTGCTTCTTCCTTGAACTTACCTACTTTTGAGCGGTGCTTTAATCCTGTATTAAGGGGACACCCCCCAAAAATGGTTCTACTTAATTACCCACCCTTCCTCAATCCTTTCTCCTCATTAATCATGCAAGCCTTTTTTTTAGATGACCCAAGTGCCCAAAGCAATAATTACATTTCAAGTGTATTTTTAAAAATTATTTATTACAAACATTTACAATGTTCACTTTAAATGCAAAATAGCTTGTAAAAGAAAAAAAAACACTGAAAAATATACTGACCCTTTGCCCCATATACAGACATCAGCCTTTGGTATTTGCTTTCAGGTAATTAGGTAAAACAAACAAACAAAAACTTGAAACTATTATTTATCTCCAAGAAAACAACGTAGAGTTGAGGTATTCTATTTAACAGATGTGATCTCCATCCAATAAGGTCTCTCTGTTAATTAACAGCCTTGCGACGTGCTGTTCCAATCCTTTCCTCCTAAAGTAGAATTTCATTTGAGCATATGTTCATGAAACTGACAATGTTCCTTAATAATCACTAAGGTTGCCATAGAAACTCCCTGGCGCTGGCGCCCAGCCGCACAGAGGACAGGAGGCTGAAGGGCCCTTACAGGGCACTGAACTGGCCCTGAACTGGCCCGCCTGCCCCTCCATGTGCAGCCCCCTGCCCACGGCTGCACGGGACAGCTGGGTGCAGGGCTCTTGCCTCAAAGGGTCACAGGTTGCCCCTGTATCTCCAAGTTAAGACAGATTTCTCACCAACTCCACCTGGAGCTGGTGTCAGCATCCTCCCCACCTGGGTTAGCCTTCAGGACGTGCTGTGAGATAACAGAGCTCAGCACCAAAGCAGCCAAGAAGACATTCCTGAACATTCTCCAGGACACAAACCCATAGACCACAACACTCCTAGCCTGCCCCGCTGGGCCCTGTTCACTACCAGGTGGGCTTCCAGCCTGGTTCCAGCAGCAGATTCCACACCCTGCCGCCACAACCAGTTTCCTTTCTCCCAAGACAACAGGGAAATGCCAGGGGCTCCATGTGAGCTCAGAGCCTGATAAAGAAAGTGCAAGGGCAAGTTGCCATCGGGGCCAAGAGCTTTCTGAGTTACCAAAGGCCTCGTCAGCATAGCCAATGCTACCCCCGGACACGTTTCTTGAAAATATTTCATTAATGCTACAAACATTATTTATCATTTTACTTTAGACCTTGAACCAGCATATTTTTTACTTTCCCCACCCAGCAAGATAAGCTGTTGTATTTAATCTAAATGGTCTCTGTCCCAGCGTTTCATGTCTGGCTGTGTGGCAGATGGCTACAGGTATTAGGCAAATAACAGCACTGCTGGGGACTCAAGGCAGTGGGGGTGCTGCAGAAATACAGGTAGAAATGCCCCGTGGATTGAGACACATATTCAGTCACCACAAATTAGAGAACAGAGAGAGCTTAGGATGTATACCTGTGTACACTGAGCCAGGCCTACAGCCCAGAGAAGACACTTTTTCTTCATTTACAGTAGCTTATGAAAAATAAAGGGAAAAAAACCCTCTTCAATACAAAAACAAAACAAAGAAAAAAAAGCAAAAAAAAAAAAAACAGTTCCATTACAATAAAAATGAAAGCAATAACAATTTGGAGATCAAAGCTGCCTAGCTCTTGGCAATAATGAGCTATCTGAATTTCACATCTTCCGCTAGCATGCTTCTGCCCGACTTCGGTAATACCACATGTGGGTAAAACGGTATAAAGAATTAACTGTGGGCACATAATCACCCTTCATGCAGATTCTCATTCTTAATATTTCCCTTTAACAGCATTTTTGCTGTTCTCAAGTCTCAGAAACTTTATGCAGCAGGATGGGAGGGAACCACCATAACCACTTGCCTGCCTTTTTTTTTTCTTAAATGTTATTGTTTATAATAGAGATGGTATCTCACTATGTTACCCAGGTTGGTCTCAAATTCCTGAGCTCAAGCAATCCTCCCACCTCGGCCTCCCAAAGTGCTAGGATTACAGGCGTGAGCCACCACACCCAGCCGTCCTGCCTTTTTGCCAACTTAAGATGAGGTGCCTCAAGCAGCAATAGGGTCTAAAATCTACAGACAAACCCAGCAATGAAAAGCACGGCTTGCTGAAGACAGTAACAGCTTAAACCTGGAAAACGGTAAACAAAACATGGTCACTTTCCTCCTTTTGCACCTGTCTGGTGATGGTGGCTGTTTTTCTAAGAGGGTAGAGTATTAGAAAGGTTTTGTGGTCTGGTATATCCCCACTGTGGAGTACCCTGATAACTTGAGAGCTAACTGGGTAACCACTAACACCATTGAATTTTCAAAGCTCGGGCAGAAAAGTCAGCTGAAGTGGTTAATCACGGTGTTACAATTAGACATTTAGTTCTGCTTCAATTCTTGCAGAGCTGAATCAACTCAAGGAGCTAAATAAAAAGAGGAAGGCACCGAGGTAAGGGATTTTTTAAAAACCTCCCCCTTTGATAGCAGAAGGCTCAGGGCTTTCAGGGTGGGGAATTTCTAGGACCCTGCCGGGTAGTCGTGGGAGGCTCCCTTCTCAGCACTGGGACAGGGACCGGACGCCCTCTCCATAACCACCTGGGGGAGTAGTCACACACTGGTTTTTCCCTAGAGTAGAGAAGAGGCAGGCTATTTTTCCACTTTTTAAGACAAAAACAAAATACACAACGAAACCACAATCTCTTCGCTAATAGGGAAAATATTTTTTCTTTTCTTTTTCCTTTTCTTTTTTGAGACAGGGTCTCACTTGCTCAGTCACCCAGGCTGGAGTGCAGTGGTGCAATCTCGGCTCACTGCAGCCTTGACCTCCCAGGCTCAAGAGATCCTCCCACCTCAGCCCCCCAACTAACTGGGACTTCAGGTGCACGCTACCATACCTGGCTAATTTTTATGCTTTTTGTAGAAATGAGGTTTTACCACATTGCCCAGGCTGGTCTCAAACTCCTGGACTCCAGTGATCCTCCCGCCTCGACCTCCCAGAGTGCTGGGATTACAGGCGTGAACCACCATGCCTGGCAGGAAAAATATTATTTCTCTTCCTCCTTTTTCACTTGACTTAGTTTTGGGCTAAACAAAGTTATGGTGCTTCCCCCACACCTAAGTAAGTTACTTCTATGCTGACACAGCGCATATTGGATATTCCACCCTCTCAAGAGAAAACAGTCAGCAGTTTTTTAAAAACCAAGTTAAAATGCATTCTTGCCGGGCTCATTTTTCTTTTCACATTGTCTTCCTTAATATTATCTTCCCTAGTTACCCAGGTTCGGCTGACAACAAACAAAGCTGCAGTAAAACAGTTTTGATCTCAGCACTGGCAGAAGCCCTCCCTGCTGCCAGCTCTCCTTTGTGGGAGGTGGAGAACAGAGAACATTGGTTTTCAGAGGCTGTGATCCCCCGCGCAGCTCCCACTCTACCGGGGATGGTGGAGACCCTGTGCCCCTCTCCTCTCCTTCCTCTGCTTCTCACCTGAGGTCCTGCAACCCAAAGCCAGTGCAGTTGCCTCTGTATTCAGCAAATGCCTAAGATTATCATTCACATTTAGCAAAATGCTAATGAGGAACTAATTATAATTCCGTTGAAAACGACCAGGCCCTGAGATACTGTATTATTCACCCACCCACCCTCAGCTGTTTTTCAACTGTGGGGAAGAAAGGGAGGAGAGAGCTTCTTTCCCCAGCCTTGGCGGTTTAAGTAAAAGCCGTCCCCAGGCTCAGAAAAACAGAATTTGCAAAGGCACTTGGGTTTTAGGAGTTTGAGCTGGAAGATGAAATGATGCAGTGGGCCAGGAGCGTGGCGGCTGAAGGAGGCTTTGGCTGGAAATCCGCCCCACCTGCCTGAGGGCGCAGCTTGTGCAGAGGTGTTGGGGGGTGGGCTGCCAGCCGCTTCTCCACACTGAGGCCCCCACCAAGCTGCCCAGCTTTTGAGTGTCCGTGTTGAATGTCCAAAGAGTCTTGACATGCTTCTCTTCACAGTGGCCCAAGTTCACTCTAACCCCTTTAAGCCAGGCATTTGGAAAGGGAGGTTTGAAACCTCAACCAGCTGAACAGCTGGAGCAGGCTGATTTTCCCCTGGTGTCGAACCTTCCGCAAGGCTCTTCCGTGAAGCCAAAGGCCCCACTCCCCTGAGATAAGCTGGCATGGCAGTAAGAAGCATCCTTTGCTGAGCCCGTTTGTGCTCTGTCATCCACAGGGTCCAGCCTGCTAGTGCCCCCTGGCCAGCTATCTGGGGAAGAAGTAGTCTGTATTGCTGATGTCGTAAGGGCTCCGTGGGTCCCTGGCATCTGGTCGGTTGTGGCTCGAGGTGTTGTCAGACCCCAGGCTGCTGGGGGACACTGGTGGGGAGATGAGAGGAACAAGCACTGGGGTGGGTCGCGGCCTCTCTGGGACCAGCTGCCCCAAAGAATACGGCGGGTGCATGCTTGTCTTGCCTTCCTTCAGAGCCCGCAGCTTCCACGTCTTCTTGAACCTTCACATAAACACACAAAGACAAACCACACAGATGTTTAGCTCCCCCTGTGACAAGCCCACATTGGAAAACACCAACAGCTGGCCGTCCTGGTGGCCTGGCGCTCCCAGGTTTCAGCTCAAAGAAGCAAAAACTATCAGCTGTCTTTTTGTTTTTTGTTCATTTGTTTGTTTTGAGACAGGGTCTTGCTCTGTTACCCAAGCTGGAGTGCAGTGGCATGATCTCAGCTTACGGCAGCCGCAACCTCCTTGGGCTCAGGTGATTCTCCCACCTCGGCCTCCTGAGTAGCTGGGGCTACAGGCGTGTGCCACTACATCCAGCTGATTTTTGTATTTCTCATAGAGATGGGGTTTCACCACGTTGCTCAGGCTGGTCTTGAATTCCTGGGCTCAAGCGATCCGCCCGCCTCAGCCTCCCAAAGTGCTGAGATTACAGGTATGAGCCAGCACACCCGACCCGACTGCTTTTATCACCAGGGAGTTCACCATACTCTGAAGAGTTGCTGAGTTTCCAAAACACTCCCAAGGAAATAGGTATTATTGGACCAATTTACAACTGATGAAACTGAGGCACCAAAAAGTCACTTAACAGTCCCTTAATTGTCCCATTCCAGAGGCTGTTCATTAGGTACACATCATCAGTCCCAAATACATTTACTTACAAAAGAGAAAAATAGGCTGGGTGCGGTGGCTCATGCCTGTAATCCCAACACATTGGGAGGCTGAGGTGGGCAGATCACCTGAGGTCAGGAGTTCAAGACCAGCCTGGCCAATGTGGTGAAACCCCATCTCTACTAAAAATACAAAAATTAGCTGGGCGTGGTGGCAGGTGCCTGTAATCCCAGCTACTCAGGAGGCTGAGGCAGGAGAATCGCTTGAACCCGGGAAGCAGAGGTTGCGGTGAGCCAAGATCACGCCATTGCACTTCAGCTTGGGCAACAAGAGCGAAACTCTGTCTCAAAAAAGAAAGAAAGAAAGAAAGAAAAGAACAGAAAAGAAAAATAAAGTATTATTTTAGTAGGGAAAGAAAATGGGCCTCTCAGTCAAAGTAAGGCTGGCAGGAGGCAGATAATTTGCAACTGCCATGTAATAGCAGGAAAAGGGTCCCACTGCTCCCTCAACTGCCCTCCTGTTCCTCTTGCTCCTAATGTTGCCAACCTCCCCAGTTCTCCCTACGCCTCTGGGTCCACTCCTACCATGCTGGTGAGTTCCCACAGACTCAACTGTGGGCACCACTGGGCACAATTTGACTCATCTAACAGGAAAGTCAATGCTACACAGGAAGGAGATAGACATCTCTCTGATCACAGCTTCGTTCACAGTGCTCCACTCTGGGCCCAAAGCCAGGGCTCAGTAACTGAGAAAAGTCACTTGACAGCTCAAAGAAAGATGAAATGGTGACATGGATCTTCAAAAGCACAGTCACGTCCCCTTCCTGAAGGGGCTCTTCAACTGTGCCAGGGTGGTCAGTGCGCCAAGCCTCAGCCCCTCCCTCTTGCTTCCCACTTTGTGACTGACATGCCTACTAACCCCAAAGTGGGAACAAGGTGGCCTCCCTCAATTCCATGGAAGATCAGTTACTCCAGGAAGGGCTGGGAAAGAGGAGGGGAAACCAATGTCAAAAACAAGATTGGGGGATTTTCCTTGGGTTTCTTTTTATATCGACAGGTTATTCCTGTCCTTGTTATGATAAATAACTAATAGTTGGCTCCAAATCTGCCACTGGCTTTTAGCTTGGTATCCAAATGGAATAAACAATCTGCAGAATGTTATTTAGGGCTTCACCATGTGGACACCACACAGGAAGAGAGCCCAGTAGGGCTGCTGACTGGAGCTATGCTGAGTCACTGAATGGAGTTCTCCTGTAGGAAAGGACTGAGGAGAGAGTCATTACACTCTGGATTTCAAAGAATTCAGACTCTCTGACCCAGGAATTCTACTTCTGGGAAAAGAAAGAACATAGCTATAAAATAAAAAAACCTTCATGCACAAAGATGTTCAACACAGTGTTGTTTATAAAAGCAAAATAAGGCTGGGTGCGATGGCTCACGCCTGCAATCCTAGCACTTTGGGAGGCCGAGGTGGGTGGATCACTTGAGGTCAGGAGTTCAAGACCAGCCTGGTCAATGTGGCAAAACCCTGTGTCTACTAAAAATACAAAAAGAATTAGCCGGGTGTCATGGCGCATGCCTGTAATCCCAGCTACTGGGAGGCTGAGGCAGGAGAATTGCTTGAACCCAGGAAGCGGAGGTTGCAGTGTGCTGAGATCGTGCCACTGCACTCCAGCCTGGGCCACAGAGTGATATGTCTCAATAAATAAATAAATAAATAAATAAATAATAAAATAAAAGCAAAATAACACCCAAATAATTGGTAATGTTTGGGTGCCACCAATTAGAAGTAATAGGAGGTTGATTAAGAGAACTCGGTATATCCACCTAATACTACAGCTAATGAAAGTGAGATTTATGGCTAGGTGTGGTGGCTCACGCCTGTAATCCCAGCACTCTGGGAAGCCAAGGCGGACAGATAACGAGGTCAGGAGTTCGAGACCAGCCTGACCAACATTGTGAAACCCTGTCTCTACAGAAAAATACAAAAATTAGCCGGGCGTGGTAGCAGGCGCCTGTAATCCCAGCTACTCAGGAGACTGAGGCAGGAGAACTGCTTGAACCCAGGAGGCGGAGGTTGCAGTGAGCTGAGATTGCACCATTGCACTCCAGCCTGGGCAATAAGAGTGAAACTCCGTCTCAAAAAAAAAAAAAGAAAGTGAGATTTACAAAGAATTTGTACTAATGTGAAAGAATGCCTGTGTTATAGTGCTAAGTGTGAAAGGCAGGATACAGAGTTGAGGATACAGAATAATCATGGCTGTGTAAAAACAAACAAGAAACTAGGCAGAGGAAAAAGACTCAGGAAATTTGTCTAAATATTAAGTGTTCTTGATCTGGGTGTTGATTGTGAAACCATCTCCACAGGGTTGACAAAAATTGCATGCTGGGCTCTGGACAGAAATACATTAATAGTTATAATGAAGCAGTAATCAGGCTGCACTTTGGTCCATTTCCTTATTGCAAAAAGTCACGTAGCCCTAGACACTGACCATCTGCATCCCCGTTGTTTCTGTAGATAGGATTTCTGACATTAGGATCCTAAGACTTTTGTTTAAGGATCACTTAAGATGTTTTACAGACCCCGAATTCCGGCAACCAGTTTGAAGACCCTCACAGAGGAATGGGATTGGCATGAGAAGACAGCTTCTTCATCTCCCTGTCCCGGGACCTCACCCTACACCCTGCAACCAGTCAACCATCTCCACACTTTGGCCCAGTCCAACATTTTTACAACCCTAGCCCCATATTCCTTGGGGAGATGGATTTGAGGTGCTGGTGGAGGATTACCTAGGTGCCGAGGCAAGAGACTGAAGGCACAAACTGTTTCAGTATACTAAAGAAAATAGAGTAGGCTGGGCACGGTGGCTCACGCCTGTAATCCCAGCACTTTGGGAGGCTGAGATGGACGGATCACAAGATCATCAAGACCATCCTGGTTAACACAGTGAAACCCCATCTTTACTAAAAATACAAAAAATTAGCCGGGCGTGGTGGCAGGTGCCTGTAGTCCCAGCTACTTGGGAGGCTGAGGCAGGAGAATGGCGTGAACCCAGGAGGCGGAGCTTGCAGTGAGCTGAGATAGCGACACTGCACTCCAGCCTGGGAGACAAAGCAAGATTTCGTCTCAAAAAAAAGAAAGAAAATAGTTAGAATAAGAATAGTCATAATACAAATTAGATATACAGATGATCATTGACAATTATCAATCATTATTATAAACATTATTAATCATTAGCTTTTAATATTACTCTTTGTTGCATTACTAATACAACCTAGGAATAACGGGTGGGTACAGGGTCAGGAGCTGAAAGGACATTGCGAGACATGACCTAGAAGGCAAGAAGTGAGCCTTCTGTCATGCCCGCGCAAGGGTCGCTTGAGGGCTCCTTCGTCAAGCGGTAACACCAGTGTCTGGGAAGGCACCCGTTACTTAGCAGACCACAAAAGGGAGTCTCCTTTCCTTGGAGGAGTCAGGGAACACTCTGCTCCACCAGCTTCTTGTGGAAGGCTGATATTATCCAGGCCTGCCTGCAGTCATCCGGAGGCCTAAACCCCTCCCTGTGGTGCTGTGCTTCAATGGTCACGCTCCTTGTCCATTTTCATGCTCCTCCCGCACTCGTGGTTCGTCTTTGAAGTTCATGGTAGATAGCAGTAGAAGAAATAGTGAAAGTCTTAAAGTCTTTGATCTTATAAGTGCAGAGAAGAAAACGCTGATGTATGCTGCCTTCTCTCTCTGCTTCAGCTACTTAAAAGGGAAGGACCCCCTATCCTGTAATCACGTGACTTGCTTCACCTTGTAAATCACTTAGAAGATTCACCCTCCTTACCCTGTCCCCTTGTCTCGTATGCAATAAATATCAGCGCGCCCAGCGGTTCGGGGCCACTACTGGTCTCCGCATCTTGATGATAGTGGTCCCCCGGGCCCGGCTGCTTCCTCTTTATCTCTTTGTCTTGTGTCTTTATTTATTACAATCTCTCATCTCCGCACATGGGGAGAATAACCATAAGCCCCGTAGGGCTGGATCCCACAGAGGTTTCCTCCCATCTCCTCCTTAGGTGACCCTCTGATTCAACCTCTTTCTCTGCTGCAACCTGGTGTCTTGGCATCTTGACTTGCCACGTGCATCTCATTATAATTACAATGACATGGGTGCGTACACTTCATGGCACTGTACACATGAGGTGGGAACTTTTCTGTATATTTGTTAGACTTTAATCACATTTACATTTTGAAAATTAACAGTGGCTCTCTTTGGATGACATATTTTTTCCATTTGTTATTATTTAAGTCCCTATTGACCTAATATGGAAGCAATCTCTGTCCTTATTTTTTTTTTTTTTTTTTTCAAAGTAACCGAATGGGTAACCAAGAACAGTGAGCTTTCCTTTTGAAATATTCTAAGGAGAGTATGAATCCTTTTCTGAAAATCACTAAACTCAAAGAGGACTCTGAAACCAGCCAACCTGAGGGTGTCCAGAGCTGGCCTGGATGGGTGTGAGCAGGGCCTGGGGGCTGGAGAGGACGCGGGGCAGGCAGATAGAAGAAACAGATGAGCTCTCTGCTGCCTTCTTTTGCACCTGGACCTCCACCTTTTATCTATTTTACATATTTGGGCTTCAAAAAGTTTTGTTTAAAGAAAAGATTCTGTAGCTAAAAGAAGTTTTTAAAAATGCTCAAAACTCTCACTTTTTTAGAAAGATATGTAGAGACCAAGGTGCCACCCCTTACCCCAAAGGCCACAGACAGTGCCCACTGCACCCAGCCACCTCCACGGCCCAGAACACCATGAAAGTCCCTCTGCCCGTCCCCCAGCTGCGGAGGTAGGAGAAGCTCTTAAAATACCAGAATGATACACTACATTCAAAACAAAATGATGTTTAAGTCATAGGCATACACATAGGAAGTCCTCATTTAATGATGTAAGTTCATTCTAGATAAATATGCAGAAAAATAATTCTTTACTAGGAGAATCCTATTTTCCCAATGCCTGATAACCTAAAATAAAGACAGAGAATCCATGGGGGACAGGGAATAGGGTGGGAATAATTGGCCCCTGTAAGATGGCAAGCCTTTTCAACAGCCTATTTAAATTTTAAAAAATCATCTATGATTCAGAAAAAAAGAATGAGTAATAAAAGACAAAGAAAAAAATCACCGATATTGCTGGAAAAAGATTTAGGGCCATACAAAAAATATAGTATAGACTGGCAGGATGAAGTCAACCTGCCTCTCACACTTCACCTACTGTAAATGTGGCCATCCCATGGTAACCATGGTTCAGCCATTTTGGCAGCCCAGAGCCCCACAGTATTTCTAAGTTTATACTCTTTGCTAGACAGAGGGGATTTGGGGAATAGAAGGATTCTTCATCGCCTGAAATAACTGGCCTCTTTCCAAACAAATTTGCCTTATACAGAAGAAAATGGAAACTCACTAGGCTAGGAAATAAATTCCTGGCATGTCCTCAGCACAGGGCACTGGCCCTGTCTGTGCCTGCAGGGACTCTGGTTGTTTAGCAACCAGCCAGTGTCCAAGCATCATCATCAGAATAGCAAACCAGGTCTGTTCCCAACCTGATGCTCCTCTATTTGCCGTTACGACACACCAAGATGGTGCTGTGTTAAGGGCCAGTGGTGGGCCGATGGGAGCAGCTGGGCCCAGCTCTTAGCCAAGAGCAGGCGGGTGCCATAGGCAGGGGCTCTCAGGGCGTGTGCTCCACTTCTGGTTCTTGCTTGTCCTTAGGCAAGTCATTTTACCTTTGGGGGCTGTTTCCTCATTTATAAAATAAAAGAGTTTGACCAGATGACCCCTAAGGCCCTATAGAAAGAGCAGGAGTTTTTGGTTTGATTCTTGGCCTTCTTCTTCTGCTGCTGCCCAGGCTGGAGTGCAGTGGCATGATCTCGGCTCACTGCAACCTCTGCCTCCTGGGTTCAAGCCATTCTCCTGCCTCGGCCTCCTGAGTAGCTGGGATTACAGGCGTGCACCACCACGCCCAGCTAATTTTTGTATTTTTAGTAAAGGCAGAGTTTCGCCATGTTGGCCAGCCTGGTCTCGAACTCCTGACCTCAGGTGATCCACTCGCCTTGGCCTCCCAAAGTGCTAGGATTACAGGCGTGAGCCACTGTGCCTGGCCTATTCTTACTAGCTGTTATCATACCATCTCTTTTAGCTTCAGTTTCCTTCCCTGTCAAATGGATATCACATCTGCTCTACAGGGCCTGTGGTGGGTTATGAGAAAAGCCTGTTGAATCCCTAATATAGACACAGAGCCAGAACACAGGAGGGTATACCTAGGGTGAGGCAAGGAATCCTTTGACAGGCAGGAGGTGGACCCGTGAATGCTGACATGGCCCCTCACTGGCCAAAATATATAAAAGGCTTTGCGTCCTCCAAGAAGCTACCTCCACTCATCAAGAATCTTATCTTCCACACACCCTTTAGATGGCTTGTTCTCTACTTCATTGAAAAAGCAAAGTGAAGGCCGGGCATGGTGGCTCACGCCTGTAATCCCAGCACTTTGGGAGGCCGAGGCGGGCGGATCACGAGGTCAGGAGACTGAGACCATCATGGCTAACACAGTGAAACCCCCTCTCTACTATGAAATCCCCTCTCTACTAAAAAAAAACACAAAAAATTAGCCAGGCATGGTGGCAGGCACCTGTTGTTCCAGCTACTCAGGAGGCTGAGGCAGGAAAACGGCATGAACCTGGGAGGCGGAGGTTGCAGTGAGCTGAGATCGCACCATTGCACTCCAGCCTGGGCAACAAAGTGAGACTCCATCTCAAAAAAAAAAGAAAAAGAAAAGTGAAAACAACCCTGAACCCAATTTGAGAAGGCATCTTGCTAATATTTCAACCCAAACCACACTTGGTAGTCAAGCTAGGTCAGGGCTACTGGCAGGGTCTGATGAGCTAACGTGTAGGAAGCTCTCTATGTGTAGAAAGAAGGACAGAGTGCAATGTCACCTCCACTTGTATATTATCACAATAAACCACTGCCCAGAAGACCCAGCCTGACTTATTTTAGGGTTTCAGCTTGTGAAAAACAGCCAGTTCCTGCAGTAAAATTGTGAACACTGAAAAATTTCATTATTGCTTGTTCGTTGAAGGCACTGTTGGCTGACTTTTCTGCAAACTTGGAAATGAATGACAAAACCAATGACCAAATGGAATGAAGATGATTGGGATGAAATGGGCATGAGGAGACAGAGGCCAGGGTGCAGCTCAGCCTGAAAGAGTATTTCCTAACCATGGATGGAAAAGAACACTAGAGCAGAGCATTTAAAGGTGACCTTTAAGTTCCTGGATTGATACATAGACTATTCCTAAGGAGGTCCTGCTGGGCGCCTTGGATTTAACTGTGTGGTGCTTCTCAAATGTTATTTTTTATTTTTTATTTTTTTTGAGACGGAGTCTTGCTCTGTTGCCCAGGCTGGAGTGCAGTGGTGCAATCTCAGCTCACCGCAACCTCTGCCTCCTGGGTTCAAGCGATTCTCCTGCCTTAGCCTCCCGAGTAGCTAAGATTATAGGAATGTGCCACTATGCCCAGCTAAATTTTGTGTTTTTAGTAGAGATGGGGTTTCGCCATGTTAGTCAGGCTGGTCTTGAACTCCTGACATCAGGTGATCCGTCCACCTCGGCCTCCCAAAGTGCTGGCGCAAGTTGCAGTGAGAAGAGATCACACCACTGCACTCCAGCCTGGGCAACAGAAGCAAAACTCCATCTCAAAAAAAAAAAAAGAATCAATTCATGGCTCTCCAATCCATTGCCACCATCCTAAACAGTTTCTTATTATCTCTTGTCCAGACCCTGGGCTACTGTATCCATTTTCACCCACCTCATCCAGTCTCCAAACTGCATTGAGAGTGACTTTTTGGTTTTCTTTATTTGAGATGAGCCTCATTCTGTTGCCCAGGCTGGAGACAGTGGTGCAATCTCAGCTCACTGCAACCTCCACTTCCTGGGTTCAAGTGATCCTCCTGCCTCAGTCTCCCGAGTAGTTGGAATTACAGGCATGCACTACCATGCCCGGCTAATTTTTGTATTTTTAGTAGAGATAGGGTTTTATCATTTTGGCCAGGCTGGTCTTGAACTCCTGACCTCAGGTGATCCACCTGCCTCGGCCTCCCAAAGTGATGGAATTACAGGCGTGAGCCACCGCGCCTGGCCCAGGTTCTTCTTAAAACTCCAACAGACACTCATTACCCTCAAGAAAAGGCCTAAATTCCTCCCACTTCTCTTTCAAGGCCTTTTATGACCTGGCACCAGCCTACCTCTCCACTCTTCCCACCCCATATTGCCCCAACCACGCTGCCCCCCCACAGACACGTGCATGCACACACTGTCAACCATATTACATCCTGGGCTTCTCTCGTAAGAACCCTCTTTGGGCCAGGCGTGGTAGCTCACACCTGTAATCCCAAAACATTGGGAGGCCAAGGCAGGTGGCTCACTTGAGCCTAGGAGTTCGAGACCAGCCTGGGCAACATGAGACCTCATCTCTACAAAAAATAGAAAAATTAGCTAGGCAGAGTGGTATGCACCTGCAGTCCCAGCTACTCCAGAGGCTAAGGTGGGAGGATCACTTGAACCTGGGAGGCAGAGGTTGTCCTGTGAGGTGAGATTGCACCACGGCACTCTAGCCTGGATGACAGAGTGAGACGCTGACTCAAAAAAAAAAAAAAAAAAAGAACCCTCTTCTTTCTCAGACCAATTCCTCTTCCTCCTTAATGCCAGGTCAGTTCTCCTCACCATGGCATGCTTTTTGTAGCTCTTACCACAGCAGTGATTACCTCTTAGTGTCTGGCTTCTTCCTGAGACTGTATCTGCCCTGCCCAGCATTGTCTCCTGCAGCACCTAAAACAGGGCTTGGCATAATACTAGGTGCTGTGTGTGCTGTGGTGTGTGCATTCATTTGATGAATGGATAAATGAATAAATAAATGCACTGTAAATTTCATAATGGGCAAAGGAAAGCTACATAAATATAAGAACACCACAGGGCCATCCCCCAGGACCCATCTCACCTCAGAACAATGGCAATGCACAGGAGCGTTCCGAAGGCCAGGCTCCCTCCAGCAACCAGGAATGTGGGCAGTGGTACCGAAGAAGAATCTTGCACTAGGTTAAAAAAAAAAAAAAAATGAAGATAGAGGAGGAAGAGGAGAATATAGAGAAAAAGGAACAGGAGGAGGAGGAGAAAACCACTTAGCTGGAGCTGTCAAAAGCCTCAAAGGAACTTTCCCCTCCAACCCCTCTCCCAGAAAATGAAACAGCTCTGCCAACCAACAGGCCACTTGACAAGCTTCACTGTTTTTTGTTTGTTTGTTTCTTAATAAAGCCCACTCCAGAAGAATCACCCCCAGCTTACTCTGGCAGACCTCAGGATTCCACCATGTGGCAAGAGAGACACCTCAAGCTCAGGGTTTCTGAGTGCCTGTGGCTAGCCATGGACTCCTATTCACCTTCAGAGTGGTTTTTCTGGTGGCATTCTACCTGCCCCCATAAGGCACAAAGAGGGTACAACAAACAGAAGGCTTTGGGGACCTCCTTGATGGCAGTTCCTTTGAGGACAATGCCAGAGAGGATTGGATGCTTTAAACCAAATATTTGGAAGCAGTTTTCTCCATGCGGGTGTCATCTCTTGCCTGTCCCCGTATTTGGTACTCAAGCCCCAGCCATAGGAACATCATTCATTTCTCCAGCAAGCCATGATCTTTTTCCTCCAGGGCTCTCCACACACGTTCCCTCTTCTCGCCTGTCTGTTTTCTCCACCTTTGCTGTACACTTTTGCTGTCCAGTCCCTACTTGGCCTTTGGATCTCAGATGAAGTGATGTCACTTCCTTTGAGAACTGACCCCACTCCAAGCTGAGCAAGCGCCCCTTCCAGTTATTTCTCCAGTTCCACCTCTAGATTGAGTTTCCTGAAGGCAGGGACCGCATGTGTCTTTTTCACTGTAACACTGCCAGCAGCTTACACAGTGCCGAATACAAAGTAGGATCTCCAAAATATTTCCTTGAATGAAGGAAAGAACAAACTAGCTTTGCAAGCAGCCATGTCTTCCCACAGAAACGCTCTTGCTACCACTGCCAGAGTCCCTGGACTGGACAGAGGGCACATCTAAGCAAAACCATCTCCTTCTGCTGGGAATGCAGTCACAGTTGTATGGACCCAGCAGTCAGGCTCTTCTACCCAAAATGCAATCCACTGCTGAAGAAGAGGCTGCCTGCCAGCCATCACTTCGATGCCTACTGGAGGCAGGCAGTGCAATGAGCCCAGACTGGTGAATGGGCAGTGGCTGCAAGGACAAGTTTCTCCAAGCGTGTCCCATGTCTCTTGAGAGATGCAGCTGTGTAATGAAAGCAGTATGCTTGGCTTGCTTATTTATTAATATTTCATCATCTTTTATACTTGTTCCTTCTTTTTTTTTGAAATGGAGTCTCGCTCTTGTCACCCAGGCTGGAGTGCAGTGGTGTGATCTCTGCTCACTGCAGCCTCCGCCTCCCGGGTTCAAGCAATTCTCCTACCTCAGCCTCCCAAGTACCTGGGACAACAGGCACGCGCCACCACGCCCAGCTAATTTTTGTATTTTTTGTAGAGATGGGGTTTTGCCATGTTGCCCAAGCTGGTCTCCAACTCCTGACCTTAGGGGATCCGCCCACCTCGGCCTCCAAAAGTGCTGGGATTACAGGCATGAGCCACGGCACCAAGCCATATATTTGTTCCTTCTTTCATCCAACAAATACTCTTTGAGTGCCTATCATGTGCCTAAATGGATCTTACATCCAATCAAGGAAGACAGACAAACAAATGTTTTTTTAAAAAATTCTCAGGAAAAGGTTCCCAGAGAAGGGTGCAACTGAGCAGAGACTTGAGTGATAGGAAGGAGCTGGCCAAGTGGACGTCAGAGGAAGCCTGTCCAGGCAGAGCACACGGCAAGTACAAAGGCCCTGAGGTAGAGCATGTGTGGAGGAGCAAGGAGGGCACTGTGGCTGGGGCAGAGCGAGGAAACGGAGAATGGAGAGGCAACGTCTAAAGATAGGGGACCACATGGCTTCGCTGGGACTCCCTGTAGAAACTGGGGACTTTGTCAGGACTTTGACTTATACTCTGGGGGAGATGGCACTGAGCCAGAGAGAGCTTGGATTTGTGTTTTAAGGGACACTCTAGGTGCTGGTTGGAAAAGAGTTGGTTGGGGGTTAAGCCTAGAAGTTGGTAGACCAGTTGGCAGCCCAGGAAATCCTGCTGGATGAGAGGTGGCAGAGGCTGGACTGGGTGTTGGCACTGGAGATGGTGAGGAGTGATCAGCTCCTAGGTACGTCTCAAAGCACAAGGACAGCACTTGCTGAGGGACTGGCCACAGGATGAGGAGTAGGGAGGAAGTGTGCCCAATCCCCCGCATCTGAGCAAATGCGGTACCAGTTATTGAGATCGGGAAGATGGAGAAGAACAGATCTGGGTTGAAGAGGTGGGGAAGTGTCAGGTGTTCTCTTTCAGACATGTTAAATTTCAGAATGCTGGCCAGGCACGGTGGCTCACACCTGCAATCCCAGCACTTTGGGAGACTGAGGCGGGCAGATCACCTGAGGTCGGAAGTTTGAGACCAGCCTGACCAACATGGAGAAACCCTGTTTCTACTAAAAATACAAAATCAGCTGGGCGTGGTGGCGCATCCCTGTAATCTCAGCTACTCAGGAGGCTGAGGCAGGAGAATCGCTTGACCCCAGGAGGCAGAGGTTGCGGTGAGCTGAGATCACACCATTGCACTCCAGTCTGGGCAACAAGAGCAAAAATCTATCTTAAAAAAAAATATATATATATATATATATATATTTGAGACTGCTAGCGGATGTCCCATGTGTCAACTAGGCAGTTGGGTACATTAGTCTGGGTCTTAGTGGACAGATCAGGGTAGAGATATAAAATTGGGAGTTGCCAGCCTGTGGATGGTCTTTAGTGACACGAAGCTAGATAAAATCATCAGTGACAGGCTGGGCACAGTGGTTCACACCTGTAATCCCAGCACTTTGGGAGGCCAAGGCAGGTGGATCACAAGGTCAGGAGATTGAGACCATCCCGGCTAACACAGTGAAACCCCATCTCTACTAAAAATACAAATAATTAGCCGGGTGTGGTGGTGGGCGCCTGTAGTGCCAGCTACTCGGGAGGCTGAGGCAGGAGAATGGCATGAACCCGGGAGGCGGAGCTTGCAGTGAGCCGAGATCGTGCCATTGCACTCCAGCCTGAGCGAGACTCCATCTCAGGAAAAAAAAAAAAAAAAAAAAAAGACCTCACTAAAGACCATCCATGGGCTGATCTTTAAAAAAAGTTTAAAAAAAAATCATCAGTGAGGGTGGACGGAGAGGACTGGAGGATCCCCTCCTCCATAGCAGCCTTTGTTTTTGTTGTTGCTGTTGCTTTTGTGTTTTTTTTTGACATGGAGTCTCACTCTGTGGCCCAGGATAGAGTGCAGTGGCTCAATCTTGGCTCACTGCAACCTCCACCTCCCGGGTTCAAGCAATTCTCCTGCCTCAGCCTCCCAAGTAGCTGGGATTATAGGCACCCACCATCACGCCCGGCTAATTTTTGTATTTTTTAGTAGACATGGGGTTTCACCATGTTGACCAGGCTAGTCTTGAACTCCTGATCTCAGGTGATTCTCCCACCTCGGCCTCCCAAAGTGCGGGGATTACAGGCATGAGCCACTGCGCCCGCCCCATAGCAACCTTTGAACACTCAACCTCTTGCATCCCACTCATGCCATTCAAAGCCTATTTCAAATGGCACCTCCTCCATGAGCTTTCTGTGACTGCTCAGCTTGATGCACTCTCTCAAATCTCTAAATTCCACTTTGCTTTATCTGTGCCTCCCTTTCTGCCCATCTCACATTCTGGTCTTTGTCACAGTTACCAGTTTACTCTTTGTGGGGGCCTGGACTGTAGCCTCCTTGAGAAGAGGGATGGCTCTAATCCTCTCCGAGTCCCCAGCTGTGCAGAGCTCAGGCCCAGGTATTTAGCAGGTCTTCCACAGGTGCACTGCACCATGGTAGGGCTTGGCAGCTGGGCTGTTGTAGCAGAGGCAGCCAGCATCAGGTGCAGGCAGGAATCCACCCAGGGATGGGGAACGAGGGCAAGGACTGCCTCACAAAGCCCAAGAGTCATTAGCTGGAGCCACTCAACTACTGAACCTCTGGAGTCTGGATTCCATAAGTCCCATACACCTAGTCAAACACAGGACTTGTGATCTTTCTTGATTCAAATACTGGTAAGTTTTCCTGGTCTTGCAGGGATAGGGAATCAGAAGCATTGAAATCAAGAGCTCCCAAAATAAAGATTTCCCTCAACAGGTATTCCATTTCAGACTCCAGTAATCTTGTTTGCAGCACATTCATTTGTATTGTGGGCCAATTGTGAAATATCTCACGGATTTATCCCATTTTTCTTACAGTCTCCTCATTATATCTTAGCTAACAATATCAAACTTCAACATATAAAGTAATAAAAGAATATTTCTGGCCAGGCACGGTGGCTCGTGCCTGTAATCTCAGCACTTTGGGAGGCCGAGGCAGGCAGATTATGAGGTCAGGAGTTCGAGACCAGCCTGGCCAACACGGTGAAACCCCGTCTCTGCTAAAAATACAAACATTAGCCAGGCATGGTGGCATGCCCCTGTAATCCCAGTTACTCGAGAGGCTGAGGCAGGAGAATTGCTTGAATGCGGGAAGTGGAGGTTGTGGTGAGCCGAGATCGCACTGCACTCCAGCCTAGGCAACAGAGCAAGACTCTGTCTCAAAAAAAAAACAAAAACAAAAATAAAAACAAAACATTTCTGCCATTGATCCTCTGACGACCTGTCCAAATAAGAAAGGACTTTCCGCAGAGACAAATCTGTCCCTCAGACCCTGTGAATGTGAAAATACCCAGTCCTTACCTGGGAGGCTTGTCGCATTTGCAGAATCTCTGGAGAGAATATTATCGTCATCTTTATTAGTAGTAGGTGCCTAAAAGAGACATTCCTCACCATCAGCCTGTTTCTGCAGATTTCACCACCATTCAGAACCAGTTCAGGAGGTATCTCCTCCTCAGAGCCCTCCCTGATCCGCCCAAAGCATTCCTTTCTCCATTTCATTCGTAACAGTGGAAAAATCAATAATACTATTATTTGCATTTTTTCTATCCACACCGTGTCTGCTAAGGGTGGGGCTTTCTTTGCACCTGCCTCTCCACCAAAAGCTGAAGGGCACAGCACTCTGCACAGAGAAGATGCTCAGTGGATACACTGAAGCAGCTGTTGTCCTTACAGGTCCGATGCAAGGGTGCAGGTACCACTGTGACTGGAATCCTGGCTCCACCACTTACGAGCTATGCCACCTTGGACAGATTTCTTTTTATTTTTTGTTTTTTTGTGAAATGGAGTTTCACAAAAGAAATAGAGATTCTCGTCACCCAAGCTGGAGTGCAATGGCATAATCTCAGCTCACTGCAACCTATGCTTCCCGTGTTCAAGTGATTCTCCAGCCTCAGCCTCCTGAATAGCTGGGATTACATGCACGCGCCACCACGCCCAGCTAATTTTTGTGTTTTTGGTACAGACGGGGTTTCACCATGTTGGTCAGGCTGGTCTGGAACTCCTGACCTCAGGTGATCCACCCGCCTCAGCCTCCCAAAGTGCTGGGATTACAGGAGTGAACCACCGCGCCCGGCCTCATACTTCTCTTTTTTTTTTTTTTTTTCTTTTTTTGAGATGGAGTTTCGTTCTTGTTGCCCAGGCTGGAGGGAAATGGTGCGATCTTGGCTCACTGCACCCCCCGCCTCCCGGGTTCAAGCAATTCTCCTACCTCAGCCTCCCAAGTACCTGGGACAACAGGCACGCGCCACCACGCCCAGCTAATTTTTGTATTTTTTGTAGAGATGGGGTTTTGCCATGTTGCCCAAGCTGGTCTCCAACTCCTGACCTTAGGGGATCCGCCCACCTCGGCCTCCAAAAGTGCTGGGATTACAGGCATGAGCCACGGCACCAAGCCATATATTTGTTCCTTCTTTCATCCAACAAATACTCTTTGAGTGCCTATCATGTGCCTAAATGGATCTTACATCCAATCAAGGAAGACAGACAAACAAATGTTTTTTTAAAAAATTCTCAGGAAAAGGTTCCCAGAGAAGGGTGCAACTGAGCAGAGACTTGAGTGATAGGAAGGAGCTGGCCAAGTGGACGTCAGAGGAAGCCTGTCCAGGCAGAGCACACGGCAAGTACAAAGGCCCTGAGGTAGAGCATGTGTGGAGGAGCAAGGAGGGCACTGTGGCTGGGGCAGAGCGAGGAAACGGAGAATGGAGAGGCAACGTCTAAAGATAGGGGACCACATGGCTTCGCTGGGACTCCCTGTAGAAACTGGGGACTTTGTCAGGACTTTGACTTATACTCTGGGGGAGATGGCACTGAGCCAGAGAGAGCTTGGATTTGTGTTTTAAGGGACACTCTAGGTGCTGGTTGGAAAAGAGTTGGTTGGGGGTTAAGCCTAGAAGTTGGTAGACCAGTTGGCAGCCCAGGAAATCCTGCTGGATGAGAGGTGGCAGAGGCTGGACTGGGTGTTGGCACTGGAGATGGTGAGGAGTGATCAGCTCCTAGGTACGTCTCAAAGCACAAGGACAGCACTTGCTGAGGGACTGGCCACAGGATGAGGAGTAGGGAGGAAGTGTGCCCAATCCCCCGCATCTGAGCAAATGCGGTACCAGTTATTGAGATCGGGAAGATGGAGAAGAACAGATCTGGGTTGAAGAGGTGGGGAAGTGTCAGGTGTTCTCTTTCAGACATGTTAAATTTCAGAATGCTGGCCAGGCACGGTGGCTCACACCTG